CTTATTTTTCGCTACGTTGTAGGAGAAACAGAGAGACCTTATGGAAAAACTTACCACTACGTCCTCTCTAGCATCGGGCTGACCAAGATGCCTACGAAACGTGTGGAAATACATCGTCAGTGAGGGGTGCCATTCTTAGCACAAAGTTAAAAGTTATTACTGTGACCAGTGTAGGTAATCCCTTTGAAAGTTCGATACGTTGTAACCCCGTGGTAAACATGACGCCCTTAATTGACGGCTTAGCGTCCGAGAATGTGCCAAAGCAACGGTCTGATGCTGGAAATTATCATGAATACTTTGACAGAGGATTCAGAAATAGGTAAGTTCTACAAGGTTTCTCTGTCATTCCGAGTAAGGTGTGAAAACGAGGTCAAACCAACATTAAAGATAAAACATTATGTGTCTAAAAATCAGAACGGCTCAGACAGGACACCATACAAAATGATACATATAAGCTGAAAGAGAGAGAGGGAGAGAAAGAACAAGAAATACCGCAGAGCAGTAGGAGGCTTGATTAGTCTTCACTATGGCTAGCATTCGCACACTTCACGCGAGTCATGAGCATTTCATGCACACCACCCACGTGCAATGGAACACGGTAGCCATTCAGGATCAAGAATAAATGTGATATAGAGGAGGATACAATAGTTCGCTTACAAATACATCAAATTTACGTTTAATCACAGCCACATTACTTTTCTACAAATATGTGTGTTAAGCACAGAATAGACAATTCAGTTATGAAATGCCTTATTAAATGGAAGAATTTGTGATAGAGCAAGTGGATAAGGCTGTAGCCAGACACCTTTCTTGTCTTCAGATTGGTTTCCTGCTTCATCAATGTCTGTACAGACGAAAGCATGGCAGGATTTCATCGCAGTGGAAGTACCCAGCGCCGAGAACTTATTCGTAAAAATATAGGGTCTCAACTCCAAGGCAATCTACCCTTCAATCCACCTTTTCAACCAAAATGATAGGTAGACCAGCGTCAATTTATTAAGAGAGTCTTTAAAAACCTACTTTCCTTGAAGAAGTGGGTTGACCTCGTTGTCGCAACTTGGTCTTGTTGTCAAGGCTACTTAATAGAACGCACCTAGTCCGAACTCGTCTGTCATAATTCCCAGCATCAGACAGTGGACTTGATACATTCTCAAACGTTTCGCCGGCATCGTAGTCGGCATCATCAGTGAGTCTTGCCATTCTCCACACCAAGTTGCGAACTC